GGCATCTGTCAGGAAAGGTCAGAAAGTGTGAATGCAAGATGACAGATGCAGCGAGAGAGGGATTGAGCACCACCCATAGCTTACCTCACGCACGCCATCACAGGCGGTCAGGGGATACGAGAAAAGAAGGTCGCCGTATGGTCTAAGAAGCCCGTTGCTTTTACAGCTGCTGCCTAACAACAGTTCCTCTGCTTCTGCGCCCAGACCGTAGAAAGCTGGTTTGATCCTGACGACAAAGTCAGATGTGGAGCAGGTTACAGAGACGTCCGGGAGGTAAGCAAAGTCTGACTGGATCTTTGCCTCGGGTTTCCCTGGTCGCATGGGTCCAAGTCTCACAGGTGCTGAAGCGGAATAGGACCTTCGGTAACCCCGCTGAGGCTCTGGAGGTGTGTCGGCAGGTAGCCTCTGGTTGGATTCTCTGTCTTCGGCTAATGGAAGTTTGATTTTCGGAGCGCCTAGTTTGAAAACCCCTTTCCTTCTCGTAAGCGGAGATTCATACGTGTCCACCGCAGAGCTTAGAAGGCCAAGTGATAAAACGCTCCACAAAATAAAGGGATACCACTTTGTTTTCATCGCAACAAACAGACAGCGGTCCGTCACTCCTTCTCTTTTAATGCGCGCGTAAAAACGTCGCCGTCACGGCTGAAAGCAATTAGAGGCGATGAACCAGCACCCTGCTGAGAGCCAGAACTATTTGGTCGATTTAAGCCCCTAAAAATAAATCAGTGATAGTTTTACTTATTTTTACTCATATTTCTTATGTAAAAAAAATGTTAATCATTAAAAAAAGAGATTGTCTTAAACTAACCTCAAAGTAAAAAAAAAAGAAGAAAAAAAGTCTGAAATTTATGGTAATTCTTTTTTTAGAAAATCACCCCCCCAAACAAATGAATTAATAAATGGCTCTCTCACTGAAAGAAGTTGTTTTATACCAACTTGCACTACCTTAATGTTAATGCATGGCTTACAACTAACTGGTTTAATGTTGCGCATAAAAAAACAAAGTGTTATAAGGATGCTTCAAAGAAACCAACCAGTTTTTTTCTCTGCTTTGACAAAGTTTATTCACAGGTTTAAAATCAAAAATATGAACACGATTTGACTCCTCAGTGGTTTATATACATTGCTCTTCATAAACATAGTTGGAAAAAGTATTTACACATATACACATACAGCAGCATATATAAATACAGAGGGCAGATGTAATCTACTCTATTCTGCTGATTCAGTGCAGTTTGAAGGGCCCAAATGAAAACGGTTCCTTTTTCATAGCATCATTTGAGGTAAAATCAAGTCATCTGCATATTAGTTAATGAAAGCATCTGCTATAGGGCTGCTGTTTTTTTTTTTATTGTATTCTTTTAAATCAGTCACATTTAACCATGACTGCAACTTTTACTTTTCTAAGACAAAAGGAAAAAACAAACAAAGCCAACATTTACATTTTTTTCCCCTTCCACAAGACTCAAATCATTCAGTCATTGGTAGTAAGTTATTCTTAAACACATGCCTGCATAAGAAAATTATAGTCCCTTAGATAGTTTCCATAAATAGTTAAATAACACATTTTTGAATTTGGGATGTCACATGGTAAATAAAAAGAACTCCCAGTACAGTTGACTTTGCTTTATAAGCACTTCAAAAAAGTCTATTAAACCCGACGGAGATTTGCATAAAAAATAATTCATGAGTTCAGAAAATCAGAGATATCTGAAACCAGTTGTAAGACGTGTTTGTAAGGCAATGATTCACATAACCTATATACAAGTACATCATGTTGTACTGCCGTTTCTCCTTTAGAAAATTCAAGTACACTTTTTGAAATGTGCTATATGAAAACAAACAAACAACAAAAAGGAGAGAGTGTAGCAAATCTCCATACAACTCCATTTACTGGAATAGTGCTGGCACACCCTTCATAATAAGGGCTGATACTGTACATTTCTTTCAGAGCACACTCTGAGTGGAAAACCGCTAAGACACGTCATCGAAACATCAAAATGTAACCGTGTGTTCGAGTGATAGTGATGGTCTCATAGTGTAAACCAGCACGTTAATACCTTGCAAACGGTACTGCAAAGCACACTTTCTCCCAAAGCTTTCATGATGTAGTGCAATCACACGGGAGGAGTGACAAAACGGAAGGCTATAAATAGGAACGTCTCAGTAAACAATAAAGTCAAACATCTTTGGAAACCAAGACTAGAGCTCCCAAGAGGCTTTGTCGTTCATTTATAAAAAGCTGCCAAATGCTAACCAAAATGTGTGCGAGCTTTGTTTTAACAAAGAAGTGGTTTGAATTTTTTTTCAGCTATCGCTGTAGATTATAATAAAGAGAGATCTCTGTGCGGCATTTAAGCTAAATGATGAAAGAAAATCTCAACAAACAAACAAAAAAATATATATAAGTAACAGAATCTAACCTGGGAGGTCGGCATAACATAACAATCCTACACTGTGTAGATTTGGATCTTGTGTATTCTCTGGAGTTTTCATTAACCTGTTCACTGGGACACAGCTGGATGGAAAAATAAATACTCAGTGTGGACACTAGAGGGTGATGTAAACCTGTGCAATTCACTGCGGAGAAACCCGCACATGATGACGATCACTAGTCAGCAGTGGGTGGTTTGTGGTCCCTCCCCTGTTAGTCCAGGCGGTCTCTTCACAGCCTGTGCAAACATGTAAAGCAGCAGAGGTGGCTGGCTCGGCCTCTAGACGCTGCTCCCACGATCTGAGGTTTCAGATTCAGAATCTGTTTCAGAATCGCTGTTTAAAAGGAGAGGAGAACAACCAGAGTCACAAACACAGGCGGAGTGTGGTATAACTGTTTTTCAGTTTTCGTTTTTTTATACTGTGCAGATCTTGTTGTGGGACAGGGGAGGGGTCTCTGTTGTATTGTGTGTGTGTGTTTTCACTCCTCACTTACAACATCGCCTGCAGTAGTTTTCGGTTGCCTTGCCTCCTTTCCTCATCGATGGGGTAAGTCTTCAGTATCAACAGTCCCATGGCAATAAGAACCACGGGCACGGGAGAGACCAGCACCTTCAGGGTTACACTGACCGCCTCGGGTTGTGAGCAGCCCCCGGTCACGTAGCCGGCAAATCTGTGAAAAAATGTACACAGGGGGAGAAAAATTGAGCAATATGGTCAGCTGAAGAATTAAGTATTGTTGTCCCCACTGACTGATAAGCTCCTTAGTTTTAAGGATGAAAACGTTAATATGATTGAAACACTGATTAAAAATCAGGTCAGTAAACTTACTTCAAACTGAGGGTAGAGATACCCAGGGAGACTCCAGAGGCAAACTTGATAAAGAACACATAGAAGGAGTAGAAGAGGGCTTCATGACCGCGGACGTCTGGATTTTGAACTTTGAAGTCATCCACTACATCAGGAAGCATCGACCTGAAAGATCAAACATCCAGACAGAAGCTCAACAACAGAAAAGAAAACCCACATCCGCAAAAGGATCCAAGGACGACTTCTGTGGATAAACTTGTGCTTACCAGGGCAGGAGGAAGGCTGCTGCTACACTCACACCTGCTGCCACTGAGACCAGGTAAGAAACGATCAGGTTGCTTTTGACAGAGACGATCAGGATCATGAAGGGCACTGCCCACTGTAGCGAGAGGGAGAAAGACGTCAGAGGTCTCATGAAAAAAAACTAACAAATAAAGTTTACGATCAGGATTTATTGAAGACTTTTTATCTTGCAGACTGAATGAGTCAAAATAGAGCATAGAGTGAGCTACAGCTTCACTCATCTACACTCCATAACATCTGCTACTCACCGAGATGCCAAAGTAAGCTGCTTTCTTCTTCCCGAACCGGGTTAGAAACCACTGCCACCAAGGGATGGTTAGAGCCCCAGAGAGCTGAAGAAATAATGATAAAGAATTTAGTTATACAAGCTCAGAAGAGAGCACAGAAATAACATATACTCTGAGTTAAATGATGACTAAGTAATGACTATAGAAATTTTTTTTCATCTATTTCATATAGCTGAAGCGTGTTTATCAACCAAGGGGCAATTTAAAATAATAATAATAATAATAATAATAATAATAATTTAACATGTGGCCTTTTTTCCTGCTGTGCTTGCAAATATGTTTCATTCACTTTGTCCCCAAAAAACAAAACACAAAGTAAACTACGCATAGCAGACTTGTAGCATCGGCATTGTTGGACAACATACTAAACTGTTAAGAAACATTGTTTCTTTTTAATCAGAATTTAATCTGCACACACAGAACTTGTTGCAAACAAATTGCCAAACCAACTGGACTTTTCCATTGTGTGAGGAAACCTTGAGACTTATTGTTGCGGAAATTATAGCTGGTTGACGTCAGTCATATCTTCTTCTCTGCATTTTTTATACATGTGAATATTTTTGCAACTTGCTACTATGTGAAATATGCAGTTCTGATGCAAATGGAGAAAAAAAAACGTCCGCTTGGATAATCATCAGGGACACAGTGGGAATGTCTGGGAGTAAAAAAATGAAGCCAGAAATGAAATGAAATGCCAAAAACTGCAGTTCCTTTAGTAGCCACGTGAGGCTGATTCCAAAAGCCACTTAAAAGACCAACTTTACAGCAGAAATAAACATGTTTACAGAATGGTACAAATTAAACACCTAGTTTCCCCCTTCATGGTGGGTGGACAGATTTTATTTTTTCAATACATCAATGAATACGTATCTGTTAGATTCATAAATACAATCTATACAGTTTATGTGACTTGCTAGTCAAGCTTGTTAGTGTTAACTTCTAGATCACTTCTAATCTCCCATATTTAGGCACCATCTAGTGCTCCAGGTTTTCCTGTCCTGTGTTTTATACATTAAAATGAGTGGACTCCAAACACTAGTTATAAAGTTAGTCTGCATTTCTCTAAATTCCTAGCTCTAACTCTGTATGATGGACTTTCTTGGATGATCAATTATCTAATTTTAAATAAATCAAATGAAATTCATAAACAAAAAATTACAAAATATTTTCTACAGAAACCATTCAGACTACTAACTGGGCTTCACTGAGGACTGTGGGAAATGTGGAAAGTGGAAAAATTAAAATGACCACCAGAGGAGGTCAGGGGATAAGGTCACGATAAGCTTTCATTGGCTTTTAACCCAACCCTGCAGGGGCGCAGAAAACCTTTGACCTCTAGGCCAAAACTGGTCAACCAGCGTTAAATTACCAAACAAAAACAAGCAGTAGATGAAAGGCCAGAAGCCCACGAATTCTCAGACTTTGACTCTCTGCTCTAAACTCTCCAAATGTGATACAGTGTCCAAGTATTTCCCACTCCTAATCATAGAAAAAGGCAGCAGAGCAGAAAGCAGTGAGAGGAGGGCGTTAACAATGGTGGCTGTTCCCATGGTGTCAGTGAAGGGTTGCCAGGGCAACAAAAGCTCCATTCTGTGCCCTTGATCTAGCATAACTCAGAGAGTGAGCGAGTGGGAGACCGATTCCCAACAGTATGACACCTCCTCTCATTCTGAAATCTGCCCTCTCAGGCCTCCGTAGCATGCTTCTACATCATGCGAGGAAGCGCCTAGAAACTGAAATATC